ACATATATGTCCTCAAGTATTTCCTTGTTCGCCATAAATGTTGCTTTGTTATCCTATTTAATGTGGAAGCTACTGGTTTTCCTTTCCTTCATCATACTAACACATTTTCAGTGGAATTTTCATTTAGGTCAACAAGGAGTACATGAGAACACTTGAGATCTTAAGTAAGAAGCTGAAATTTTTTGAAGTGGATCTTATGGTTAAAACTTCAAAAGCCCTTAAAGATGTTCAGCCGGAGCTTGAAAAACTAAGGCAGAAACGAGCCATCTTTCCATGTTTTTCTTCTCCACTCGCCACCCCTCTCTCCACCCTCATCCTCCATCCTCCACTTTTACCATTAAACATCACCTGTCCTTCTAACCCGCCACCTTCATCATTTCCATTACTTTTCTTTTCACGTTTTCTTTCACCAATCTGTACTTTGTTGATTTGTTTTTGTTAACCTTTTTAATTTGTTACGTTTCAGTTCTTCTTTGCTGCGTTTGGAGGTTGTATTTGGGTTTAACTCAAGCTCTTTGGTTGTTTGTTCTCTTGGTCTTTCCTGTCTTCTCTTTTGCTTGTTGGTGGCTGTTGTGGTGGAGCTGATTTGTGTAGGTTGTTTCTTGGCTTGTCCGATTTGTGAAGGAGGTGGGTGGCCGGAGTTTGCTGGTTGCCAGAGTTGGATTGTTTGTGTTGTTCGTTTTTTGGAGTTGTTGTTCGTGTTGAAGTTAGGTAGGAGTAAGGGGCTGTTTGTGGTGCTGTTTTGACCGGAAATGTAGAGTGGGTGGGTGGTGTACCCTTTGTAGCCGGATTCTCACTGGTCACTGGAGTATGGGTGCTTACTTTGGCTAGAGCTTTGTTATTTAGCTAGAGTGTTGTTTGCCATTTTGGGTCGTTGGTCATTAATTGGGTGGGATTGTTTGAATTCCTCCAATTGTTATCCATCGGTACCCTTCTCTTCCATTGGCTCATTTGGATTTTTGAGATTTTTTTCTTATCCAAATTCTCTTTGAACTGGTTAAAAGGCTGTTTCATAAGTTTTTGCCACCTCACTTGTTTTTCATTGGTCCCCCTTTGATTTCCTTATCTCTTATCTCTTTGACTTCAAATTATGACAATTCAACAACCAATCATCCATCTCGCCCTTCCACCTCATCAAACTCAAGATGCCACGTCAGCCTCTCATGTCACTCAAGATGCCACGTCAGCCTGTTACGTCACCAGCCATGCCACATCACCAAAAAATCATTTTTTTTCCTCCACTTCCCAAACATTCCCAAAGCCTTAGTTTACCTCTTGGTGGTCTTGTTCTTGTGAATTCTTTGAATGCAAGTGAGGCAAAGAGTTCTGGTGAAGTGATTAAGGAGTAGAAAGTTGTGGGTGGAAAAACGATTGATAATGGCAAGGTTGGTTTTGTTCAAGTCAAGATGGTGAAGACCCCGAGTTCTAGCAGCTCCTTGTATGAGGAGGGTGACATTATCTTCCCAGGTGGTATCAATGGTTCTCATGAAAAAAGTGTGGAAATGTGTTTGTTGATTCAAAGGCGCCTCCAATTATGATCTATGGCGAGAAAATGGTGAGTGGAGGTGGGACTATTGGGGAAAAGGTGAATGGGGAATTAAAGCCAATTGGTTTGCATCCTGGAGAAAACTTTTTGTTTCGAAATCTAGTGCTCCAATGGAATATTTTGCACCGGAAATCCTTAATGACGGGAGGAGGATAAGGGTTATACCTCCCAAAGAGGTTGCTGATTTGGGGAAGGATAAATGAGGAAATTGTCTCGAGGGATTCTTCCTCGGTAGAAGGTTGCCTTTCTCTCTTTTGAAGGGCTTTATCGACAGGAATTGGAAGAGTTTCGGCAAGATCGGTGTTGTCTCAAATGGGGTTGGGGGCTTTATTCTGAAATTTGATAATGAGAGTTCTAGGGATGAGGCCTTGGAAGAGGGCCCTTAGCATATTGGGGGGCAGCCCCTTTTCCTTAAGAAATGGCGTCCGAATTTAAAAATGGCAAGTGAAGGCATTAGTAGTGTGCCGATTTGGGTCAAATTTAGTGAAGTGTCATTGGAGTTTTGGACTGCTAAAAGGGTAAGCTATGTTGCGAGCGCTATTGGAAAACCTCTCTACATGGATAACATTACGGATGCTGGGGATAGATTGGAGTATGCAAGAGCTTGTGTTGAAATCGACACATCTTCATTCTTGAATTCAATGGAACTTGGCTTCCCAAATGGTGATTGTGTGAACATAGGGGTGGAGTATTCTTGGAAACCGAGGGCTTGCCCTTGGTGTAGAACTTTTGGACACAATTTGAAGGAATGTCACTTGGCCCTTAGAGTTGAGAAGGAAAGTGCCAAGAACAAGAACTCTAACCCAAGAATGGCGAATGGTGACTAAGAGGAAGGAGAATGTGTCAAAGGACGTGGTTGTGCAAGGAGAGAATGTGGGCGAGAGCTCTAGCCACAAAAAAGAGCAGCTCATTATTGAGTCGAGAGACATGGTTAGTAAAACAAAACCCTCCAATAATCAATTTGTGGTTCTTATTTTGGGAAATATGCTGGATAATGGGGAAGTGGGTGTTAAAGAGGGTAATGAGAATGTTGAACGTAGGATTGGAAAAGATAAGGGTGAAATGAGTGGGGTTAATGTTCTTAGCGTGGCTGATTTTAATAGGGTCTATAATCGAGGTGTGGGTGATGATAAGGGAAAATGTGTTAAGGGGAATGAATGTGGGGTGAGTGCTCCTAACATAGAAGAGAGGGGATTGGAAGTAAGTAAGAGGTTGAATGTTTTGAGTGCTGGTGACAACAGAGGAGAAATAACCGCACTAGAGGACCCTTGATGTAAAACCATGAGGGGTGTGAAATGGGGTCTACTTCACCGGCTATTTTGAGATTCAGAAATTTGATATGAGTCGATGAAAAGGATGGTCTTAAGGAGGAAAATAGAGGTCTTTCTAAAAGCCAAAGGAGGAGATTAGCCAGGAAGGCGAGAGAAGCTCCTAATGCCAAGCCGTCCCATGATTAAGCTTGCTGCGTGGAATGTAAGGGGTCTTAATTCCCTTTGAAACATGTTACAAACAGAGAACTGATTGTAATTTTCTTATATTGTATTGACAAATTATACATCAATATATAGGAAAATAAAGAACTAATCTAGGAAATAAATAATCTAATCTAGGAAATAAAAAATCTAACTTCCTATTTTACAGATTTGTTCCTATTATGTATTGATTACAATCCTAATATCCTATTATAGATTTATACAGTTAATCATGCAATATCTGTAAGATTTTGCATGATTATCTACAACAAT